TGTCCCCACAGCCATCACGCTGTCCCCACGGCCATCACGCTCTCCCCACGGCCGCCACGCTGTCCCCACAGCCATCACGCTGTCCCCACAGCCATCACGCTCTCCCCACGGCTGCTCCATCCCCTTTAGAGTGAGTACAACGCTCACTCTAAACAACACTGTATTTGTTATTAAAAAAAGTCAATTTCCATCCAAAATCCTCACTGCGAGGCTGCCAGGTTGCCTGGTGCTGCTTCTCCTCATCCTCTCTCACAGGGATGTATTTAAAAGTCTCTGGCCCCTGGATGTATAGAGATCTATAGGGATCTATAGAGATCTATAGGGATCTATAGGTCCAAATGCCACAGGAGCATCCATCTCCATTATTCTGCCCACCCACGTGCTCTGACAGGCACAGGTAAAGCAGCAGCAGGCTTTGGGGTATCAGGCATACGAGGAGCCTCGTTATTTAGCTCATTATGTCCTTTTAGATTGATAATTCCTGGCTGGTGCTTTCCCCCCCTCCCTGCCTCTGTATCCTCCTGAGCATCAGGAAAACCTCAAGCTCCAAAAGGAAAAACCATAGAGGGATCAGGGCTCTCCCCATCCTCTGCACTGGGCATGGTGCTGCCTGTAAGACCCTCAGACCCAAGAAAAAAAAAAAAAGAAAGAGGAATGCTGGATCTATGATGATTTCAATTATATTTAGTCTTTTAGTTTAACCTTTGGGGTAGCAGAGCTGGCTGGAAGCTCGGCTCGCAGCTGGTCCCCAGCTATGATGCTCTCCACGGGAGAGGCAGACAGTCAAGTCTGAGTCAAAAACTCATTTTTCTTTCAAATTAAAAAAAAATTAAAAAATAAATTTAAAAAAGCCTCGTTAGAAGAACCAGTGGTTCAAGGCGGGGAGTTTTATGAGCTGTCACAGCTCAGATCCAATTTCTCCTTCGCTAAAGGGAGTTAATCTTTGTGTACGGGAGCTCTGAAAGGGAGAAAAGAAAGTCGATGTCTCCCGTTGGGGGTGAGCTGTGTGTCTGGGGCCGAGTGGTTCTTGGAAAGAAAAAAAACCAACAAACCAACAAAAATAAATGAGCCTGGCTGTCCCATCCAGCCCTACAAAATGTCTGCTCCAGAAACGTGAACCAGAATGGAGAGAGTCCAAGGGGACCTGAGCTCCTCATCCTCCAGCATCACCTGAGACCACCCCAACCTCAGCAAACCCCTCTGTATTCATTTCCTTCCCCCCTCCCATCACTGCAGCCCTCCAGCTGCAAAAGAAACGGCTCCATCCTGCAGCAGAGGTGACAAAACCCACCAAAACAACAACTGATGTAGGAACAAGAAGGTCAAAGAAGCTGCCAAGCACCTACATCTGTACCTGAAACACATAGTGAGGGATGCCATCGAGGGAGGACATCCCAGCTACCGACACCTGAGATAAAACAGGTCCGACCCTCCCCCTTTTTTTTTTCTTTTTTCCTTTTCCCCCCCCCTTTTTGTTTTTTTTTCCCTGAGCTGCACAGACAAAAGTTGACGTGTCCAGCTTGGACACTGGGATGGATGCAAAAGGGGTCAGAAGAGATGGCACAGCCCCAAAACCCCACGGGGGTTTGCTCCCTCCATCCTCCCCCGGGAACTCACAGGGATGTGTTTGCCAACACGGTGAAGAAAACAGAGCACAGGTTATTTTTGAGTGGTTGCTCCATCATCAGGAGGTTTTCTCATCAAAGCTCCTGGGCAGCAGCTCTGGCACAGCCACTGTGGCTCTCCCAGCCCCTCTCCATCCCATCCAGCCTCTGTATGGACGTAACTGCATCCCACCACGATCCATGGCCACCTACAACTGATACAGCAGGTCCTGGTTTGGGAGAAGCAAGCAGGGCTGCTCCCAGGGCAGGCTGGCCCCTCCAGACCCCCCCACGGAGGGATCAACACTCACTTTCTACTGTAGCACCTTCGTTAGGGTTGGAATAACCTTCTCCTTTCCTCTTGATCCTGCGGATTATCCCTCCATCCTCAAACAAGTCCTCACCTTTGAAGTCAAGTAGCTCAACCTAAAAAAATAAAAAATAATGAAATAAGGAAAAATAAGGAAATAAGGAAAAATAAGGAAATAAGGAAAAATAAGGAAATAAGGAAAAATAAGGAAATAAGGAAAAATAAGGAAATAAGGAAAAATAAGGAAATAAGGAAAAATAAGGAAATAAGGAAAAATAAGGAAATAAGGAAAAATAAGGAAATAAGGAAAAATAGTAAAAATAGTAAAAATCATAAAAATAATAAAGAAAAGGTGGACAGAGCTCAGGGAGATGGGAAGGAGAGGAGAAAAACAAGAGAAAAGCCACAAAGCAGCAGTTCATCCTCTGGCTGGAGAGCCAAGCCAGCTAATTCTCCATTCAGCTGACGAGCAGAAGTTGCCCATAAAAGCCAGGTCCAAGCCACAGCATAATACACCCGATTTATTAGAAATTGGGTCACATCCAGTACCTGAAGCCTAACACAAAGTAACAGTAAAAATCAGTTTATTAAGGGTAAGTTAAGGGTACAACACAGCCGGCGCTGGAAGATGCTGTGGAAGCTGCCCAGGAGCAGCGTGGGCAGGAGCTTCCCTTTCATCCTCGGATGGGACCAGCTCTGACCCACAGCTCAGTCCCTGCTGGACTGGGAAGGACTAAACCCTGACTCAGGACAGACCCACTCCTCCCACCCCACCGCCTTGTCCCGACGAGCCCTGTCCCAGCAAGCTCACCCTGCTAAAACCTCAGCTTTCCTCCCTCCCCACGGCACTCATCGGTTTTTAGCACCCAGAGGCATTTCCCAGCCGGTTTTCTCCTTCCCAAGTGCATTTTTAAACTGGGAATCTGCCCGCTCCTCCCTCCCTGGCACTGGGGCTCTCCCCAGCCGGAGTTTTCAATCCCAGTCTCCCAGCTCAGACACACATTTCTGAGAAAACCCTGGCAGCGATTCCTGGAGCAGAGGGACACGTTTCAGGAATCCAAGCTGGAGGGTGGTTTTTTGTTGTTGTTGTTGTTGGTTTTCTTTCCTTTTTGAATTTTTTTTTGAATTTCCGAGCTGGCTGGCAAGGCAGAAAGGGAGCTCAGCTCAGCGAGCTCATCCACGCGCCGGCTCACCGGTATTACTTGCCTCAAAGAAGAGGGTGGCGTTGGAAGGGATTTTGGGGGCACTGCCAGCAGAGCCATAGGCATATTCGGGTTTGCAGAGTAAGTAGCAGATCTCTCCCTTCTTCATGGTAGCCACCCCGATGTCCCACGCCTTGATTACCTGACCTAGGAGAGAGGCGGATGTCAGGCAGGAGGGAGAGACTGGCAGCTTGGAAAAAATCCCAGCTGGGGTGCTGCAAGGATGGCACCCCCAAAAAAAGAGAAAAACCACCCTCAGGAGTCACTTACAGCAGGACTGACACGGTCCATCTGTCCTGCAACAGGGTCCCACCCCCAGGATCATCCCACACCCCCCAGGATCATCCTACCCCTCATTGGAATCATCATATCCCACTGGGATCATCCACACCCTGAGCATCCCCCACTAGGATCATCCCTCACCCCACTGGGATCACCCCAACCCCTCCAGGACCATCCACACTCTGAGCTTCACGCCCTGGGATCACCCCACCTTCCCACTGGGATCATCCAACCCTGAGCATCCCCCACTGGGATCACCCCACATTCCCACTGGGATCACCCCACACCCCACTGGGATTATCTCACTCTGAGCGTCCCCCACTAAGATCATCCCACATTCCCACTGAGATCATGCCAACCCCTCCAGGATCATCCACACCCTGAGCTTCACCCCCTGGGATCATCCCACATTCCCACTGGTATGATCCCACACCCCACTGGGATCATCTCACCCTGAGCATCCCACACTGGGATCATCCCACACCCTGAGCATTCCCCACTGGGATCATCCCACATCCCACTGGGATCATCCCACACTCCCAGTGGGATCATCCCAACCCCCTGAGATCACCCCACACCCCTGGGACCATCCCAACC